TCTTGATTTTGTTCCATTTCCCTGTTTTATCATTTCTCTATTTGTTCTTTAGTTATACTTTTTCTTGCCCTTAGAAGCCCAATTCTTCTTGGCTACCACTTTGCTTCCAGCAGGCTTTTAGCTCTGCCTCTCTTTCTTGGCAGTGATTTTCCTCCTTGTTCCCACAAGGCCCAGGGTCTACCCCTCTGATATTATTTTCATTGGGCTCGTATTGGCCTTGCTAGAAGACCTAAGATTTCTGGAACACCCTGTCTTTGCTCTGGAGCAGCAGATATTGACCCTATGATGCTTACATGTGGCCTGTCTAGTGCTGGTAATGGAGACTGCCATCCAAGAGGCTGACTCTGGTAAACTGCTTGAGCCATCTGAGAAGCCCAAAATGGAGTGCATCTATGGGCCCTTTCTTTTCACACTCAGCCTGTCTGTACTTGTTGTCCCAGTGTTCTCTAGAGTAAGGCCTGATTGCTGTTGCTTCTGTCAGCTTCTGGAAGAAAGTGAGCCACGTTCTTTTCTTGTTCATAGCACCACACTCTTCATAACTAATGCCTTGAAAAAGATAAATTACTTAATCTGCCCAAATAGAAGATACACTTTTAACTCCTCAGAAAAGACGGGATTGCCTTTATTTTAGTCTTGAATTACTTTCAGATTGTTGGGCATGATTTTGAACATAAAATGGGAACTGTTGTTTGGAGAAGACTTATCAGCTTAAAATCACCCCAGTCAAGGGCGCCTGGGTGGCTCAGTCGGTTGAGTGTCCAACTTCAGCTCAGGTCATGATTTCACGGTCTGTGGGTTCGAGCCCCACGGCAGGCTCTGTGCTGACAGCTCAGAGCCTGGAGCCTGTTTCAGATTCTGTGTCTCCCTCTCTCTCTGCTCCTCCCTTGCTTGTGCTCTGTCTCTCTCTGCTTCTCAAAAATAAATAAATATTAAAAAAATTGTTTTTAAAAGAAAAAAAAAATCTCCCCAGTCAGTGCTAGTTGGGGATAGTTTCCTTTCCTAAGGTTGCCCATAAAAAAAAAAAAAGAAATAAAAACAACTTAACACAGATTTAGTTATTATTCCTGATGGCATGACTTTCAAGTGTTGGATATCTTAATAAACTAAGTGAAAGAGCAATACAAGAAAGGCAATAACTTAAGTGGGGATGTTACAGCAATCACAAATACATATTTATCTATGGGTTAGATGAAAAGCAATATTCTAACGTTATTTAAATGGCTTTGAACAAAAGCTCAGTGACTGCATTATATGTGGATACCAAGATTCTGTATCTCAAACACCTTAGAGGAAAATAAAAGGTATATGAAACATTTTTCAGAGCCTTTCTTGGCAAAGTCGGGTCTGAACTGTTACTCCTGATCTCACCCTCATCCCATCCATCTGGCATTGGTGTTGGTCCTCCCAGTATGCTGTTTACGTCCCCCTTCAAATTTAATGCACGTTTGACTTCCTAACTGCATTGCTGACTTCTCTGTTGTAGTGCTGCCTCTTTATCCACAGGGCATCTCTGAACTACTTTGGTAACTCTACTTCTAGAATGATTTAGTCTTTCCTGATGAAATCCTTTTATTTTGGAGCCTGAGAGAGTTTTATCAAAGGTGAGGTTACCATGAGGCTAATGAAGTTTAAACTCCAGATTCTATACTTGAGATGCTGAGAGTTGTAGAATATTCCAGGTGGAGAGAGAAAGCGGGTTGCAGTCAGGAAGCATTTCTGTGTAAACATATCTTATTCAAGAGATCTTATCTCTTATCCAAGAGATCTTAGAGAAAGGAACTTAATCTCTAAAGCTCCAGCATTTTAGGGTGATTTCTTTTCACAGTCTAAACAAATACTGACTTTTTGTACCTAATTTGGCCTTCATAACTTTGTATTCTTATTCTTAAAAAGTATCACCTAAATTGTATATGCTTCAGGTCACACAAAATCCCAATAGGATCTGCCACTGGTTTTTACTAAATGAGGTACCTGGATGTTTTGCTAGTACTTATTACCTGCATTTAGTAACATGCAATTCATAAGAGTAAACAAACACCAAGTAGAATCTAGAGAATCCCCATATCACTCTAAAATCAGTGCTTTGGTGACTCTTTTACACGAGAACTGGAACTTGCTGGTAGCCAGTATATTGCAGTGTTCACATTAGTGAATGCTGTAAAACTGGAACTCAGATAACTGAGTTCAGTTCAGTTCAGGTCAGCCAGCCTTTGTGGGATGCGTGTTGTATGTGATCAAGGTGCTGGCCCAGAATCATTTTTTAGTTTAAATGCAATTTAAGAATCATTTGAAATTGTCTTAACAGTGAAGTATTTTTAGTCCCTTGGGACCCTAATAGCAGTTCTCTTTAAAGAAATAAGAAATTGGAGCCAGTGTGATAAATATGCCTAAATGCCAAGAAACCACAATAATAAATTGTTGGCACCAGTCATTTGATGTTTTCTAAAACAAAGAGACTTCTCAGTCTGCTAGTGCTAGGCATTTCAGTGTAGAGGATGTACAGTGAAAAGTGTCCTTTATCTTTTTGGTAGGTAGTTTCATAGATGATGGCCCTGGGTAAATTTGGGGTAACTATTTTTCAAACCAAGGAACCCTAAATTGAATTGTTATGTTCATCATTTCATCATCCTTTTTAAAATGGGTCATTTAGTCAGTATCAGATACTTTGTGTTTGAGAAATATCATAAAATACCTAAGAGACAAGTTAATATATAATGTTAGGTACTGATAAATGTTTTGAAGACAGACAAAGTCAGAGAAGGAGATTGATGGTTGGAGTGAAGGTGATGTTTTAGAAATGCAGTACTGACTTCTAGCTATGGTTTAAATTTGCCATGCATATCCCCATTAATTAGAACCTTTTCTGCACTCGATATTGCTTCTGCCTGGAATGTTCCTTCAGATGACTGCTTCAGTTATTTTCTGACTTCACTCAGTTTAAAGTAGTGCCATCCACCATTCTATTCTTATTCCATACTCTACAAGTATACTTTACCATTTGCTTGGGAACCAAAGAGATTAAAATAAATTCTTTGATAAATCCTTTGCTCTCTGAGCTTTTACCATTTGCTCTCTGAAATTGAGGACTTGAAAAGATTTTTTTGTTTTATTACTTTATTTTCTTTTACGAAAAAAAAATTTTTTAAGTAGTCTTCATGCCCACCACAGAGCCCAATGTGAGGCTTGAACTCGCAACCATTAGATCAAGAGTCAGACACTTAACCAACTGAGCCACCCAGGTACCCCTTGAAGAGATTTTTTTTTTTTTAAATCTCTTCTTTGATCTAGGTACCTGAATTAGGAATCAAATAATTCTCTATAGTAGGGAATACTTATTTTCTTTATAACACTTTTGCCCACTGATTTGTTTTTCTTTCTCTTTGTCTGTCTGATTTCCTCACTGAACTGTTAGTTCTACAGTGGCTGGGAATGGCTGGGACTTTATTTTGTCCACTGTTCTATCCCTATCACCTGGAACAGTGCCTGGCACCTAATCAATTCTCAATAAATATGTGTGTTAATACATGAATGAATCCATTTGACCTTGTGTCATCTAAATCTTAATTTTAAAAAATATATGCTTATATTTGGAAAAGGCTTATTTCATATTATTAAGTTTTAAGAAGTAATATATGGGAGACTTACTAATCATCTGCTGTGTAGTCTGTGTATTAGGTATTCTAAGTCAGCTACAGTTTCATGATACCAATCAGTCAGTCCCATGACCACAAGATCATGACCTGAGCTGATCTCGAGTCAGATCCTTACCGACTGAGCCACCTATGCACCCCAAAACAGAAGAATTTTAAACAAAAATGTATTAGATTTGCATTTTAGATGGACCATTTTTCAGTGGTGTAGAAACAGACTAGACCTCAAAGCAGAGAGGTTGGTTGGGAGGCATTAGTGAAAGATGATTGTTGTCTCCATTGGATTCTTGGCAAGGGGTTAAGAGAGAAGTAGATACACTTGAAAGATTTGTATAAGGCAGAGTAAGTGACTAGTGCCAGTGAGGAAAAGGAAGGAGTTAAGTGTGATGCCATGCTTCCACCTTAGGCAAATGAGAAGATTGTGCTGTGGACTTGTAGGGAGGAGCCATTTAAGGAGAAAAGAGCCTGTGTAATCCTTAAGACATATATAAATTGAGGCTGACCCGTAAGAACTTGGTAATATAGCTGAATTTTCTCGGTATAGATGCTTAGAAAGATGCTTGGAAAGAAATAACCAAAATGGTAATAGTATTGGGAGTATAGTTCTGTTTCCAAATATTTCTTTTTATTAAGTTTTGGTTATCATTATTAGTGTGTTTTATGAAGGAAAAAAGTAAACTTTAAAGAATTATATTAGGATCTGTCATAGGAAATGCTGTACCAAAAAACCCAAGGACACAAAACTAAGGCCTTCCTAGGTAAAATATGGGCTGTTCCCAATGAAAATAAGTTATTGGTTCTGAATAGAAGCCTACTGTAGAAAGGGTTCATCTTTATTGTATGTGTGTTGTGTTGAGAGAGTAGGGAGAAGAAGGGTCATTTGGAAATTTTACTCTATCATGTATAGAGGGTCTGCTAGACGCAGGAACTGGTCTTTTATTTATTCATTAGTTAAAAATGTTTATCTTTGAGAATGAGAGAGAGAGAGAAAGAAAGAGAGAGAGAGAGAGCGTGAGCATAAGAGGAAGAGGGGCAGAGAGAGAGACACACAGAATCCTTAGCAGGCTCTAGTCTCTGAGCTGTCAGTGCAGAGCTGGATGCAGGGCTCCAACCCACAAACTGTGAGATCATGACCTGCGTCCAAATCAGACTCCTAACGGAATGAGCCACCCAGGCGCTCCTCTTACTTATTCATTTATCCTTACCCTTTAGCATAGTCCCTGACACTTAGTAATGTCTTAAGTGAAAGCTATTGTTTTAGATTTGTTGTTAATATGTTTATTTTTATTTATATCACTATTCACTGCAGTTGTTATACGGTGATGTTATTTGTGTCATCTTGGTTTTTAGGTAGATTGGGGTCAGCTGGACTATTTAGTTGTTGACATGCCGCCTGGAACTGGAGATGTACAGTTATCAGTCTCACAGAATATTCCCATTTCAGGTAATCTTAAACTTTAATTTGTGCTGTCTTTGGTATTTTGCTCTTGCCGTTACAAAAAAACAAACTCCATGACAGGCAAACACTTTTATGTCTTAAAAACAGTCATTTATAAATTTGTCTTTAGAAATCAGATTCATAAATTCAATTTTTCAAAATATTACCAGAATGAATGTATTTACAAAAACATGGTGGTGATATAAATCTGTGTTCTAGAAAAACAATAACCCTTAAATATTGTTTAGGTAGAACATGGCTGTTTGGTTCATGGCTGTCATACAGTGACATTATAGTGCCTGATCCATGGTGGACATTCAGTAAATATTTATTGAATAAATACTGATTAGAAGTAGACATGAGGAAAATTTGGCTTTTTGATAAATATGAGTATGGGGAAATTTTATATTCATCTTGTTATTTGATGTTAAAGTCAAGAGCAATAAACATACTAGCTTATATCAACTACAGAATATTTTATTCTGATAATAGACATCTTTTCTATGTTATGGAATTTAATTATCAATTGTTAGCTTCTATGTTGAATAGGTTTCTAAGGATTTTCCTAAATTCCAATGTAGAAATAATGTAAATTTCTCTTATTTATAAGCACTTTATCTATTGGTAATAAATAACCAAGAAATATTACTGACATTGAATCATCAGAAGGTTTAGAACCTAGATTTTTGATAAGATATACACATTGGTCTGAAATATCAATTTAGCATCATTAAGATAATTTTTTTTCAGGCTGCCCCAAAGGGCTGTGAAATGAATATTTTTGATATTTAACCTTAATAGAGTCTGAGACTTTTTCTTTAGTGAAACAAGCTAGAAAGTATGAGATGGGAATAAAGTGAAGTAATATAGTAAAGTAGTTGAGTATGTTTTTTTCATAATCAGCATACTAGATACTCTGCTTTTTATTTTATTAGGTAGTTTTGGGATTTTTATTCTTCTAAATATTAAGAATTTAGAACTCACTAAACATTTATTGAATAAAATGTGCTTCTGGCACCTTGAAATTCCTGTTGCAGACTTCCAAAATTCTTGCATTATTTACGTGGATAATACATTGATACAGCTGGGCTAAACTATCATGTGTTCCCTGAATTGTGACTTGGTACCTTGAAAAAGTTTAATTTACTTAACACAGATAAACAGATAGCCCTAAGAAATTTGCTTTTGTTTACTCAGATAACAGTCCCTCTATTTGGACAGAATTTATGATTATATCCCTCTATTTTAATTTATTCTTATACTCTAAAGCCAGCAGTGTGTAGATTAAGGTTAAGATTTCCTTTTTTGAAATTGTCATAGCCAGGAGGAGCTAAGGAGATGTAATATGGTATCCTCGATGAGATCCTGGAACAGGAAAAGGACATTAAGTGAAAACTATAAAAGTCTGAAATACTTTTGACTTTGGTTGATAATGTATAAATCTTGTTTATTAATTGTAGTAAATATAAGCATCTCAATATAAGATGTTTGTAGAGGAAACTGTGTGTAGGATAGGTATATGAGAACTTTGTATTATCTTCTTATTTTTTTTTGGTAAATACAAAATTACTCTAAAAATAAACTATTTTTCAAAAACTAAAAAAAAAAAAAAAGGTTTCCTTCTTTGAGGATTTCTTTCTTATATGCTAAAATTTAACCAGTAATATTTCTTTATTCATTTCCTTTGATGAAGAGTCTGCCCTGTAGTAAATAGGTCATTAATATCATATAAATAAAGATATTTATATTATAATGATAAAAATAGTATTTTGTTGTGGTGGTGGTGGGAAAACATAGCAGTTGAGTAGTATTGAGTACATTCATTTTGTTGTGCAACCACCACCACTATCCAACTACAGAACTTTCTCATCTTCCCAAACTGAAACTGTCCATTCAGTAACTATTAATTCCCTCCTCTCCCTAGACCCTAGTAGCCACCATTCTTTCAGAAACAGTATGTTTTATGTTAAGATGAAGGAATGAGGAAAACATATTTTAAAAGATAAATATTGATATATCTAATATTGACTTTATACTTCATTAATAAAATTTTAAATCGACAAATATTTATCCATATAAAGGTAGATACTTAGCCCTATGGAGGATCCATGGACTATTAAATCGTTAAGTATTTTTCCTAGAGCAGAGTTCTGTACCTTTTTTGATACTCAGACCTTTATTGAGATTTGATTAGTATGTGGATTTTCTCCAGGAGGGTATGTTTGTACCTACAGAAACACTGTTTTCGTGTGTCATTTCAGGAGGCTCACGGTTCTCAGGTTAGAAGCCCCAGCTCTAGGAGACAGAGCAAGGAGAAGGGCAGGGATGATAAGTGGCTACTCTGAAGAGAACTGCAGTGCAGAGTGTGAAAAGTGCCATAAGAGAAATCTAAACTCCATTCTGTAGGGGATCAAAGGACAAAGAGATCATGGATTTGAGGGGAATTGTAAACTTAATGGAGATGAGCTTTTTAAAAAATGTTTATTCATTTATTTTAAGATAGAGAGTACAGGAGTGGGGCAGAGAAAGAGGGAGAGTGAGAATCCCAAGCACATTCCACACTCAGTGCAGAACCTCCCCAGGGCACAAACTCACAACCATGAGATTATGACCTGAGCAGAACTCGAGTTGGATGCTTAATTGACTGAGCAATGCAGGCATCCGTGGAGATAAGCTTTAAAGAATAAATATGATACATTATAGAGAATTCAAGATAGCACTATGCCTTATTTGCTTTGGTTTTTCTTGGCCTAAGGGGAAGAAGTCAGAAAATGAAACTTCCTGTGTTTATAATTCTATTATAGAAACATAATATATATTTTACTTCCCAAGTCTGATCCATTAAAAATAAGTAGGGCCAGGTAATAATGCTGCTTTTGAAAATTAATAAACTTAGTGATTTCTGAAATTAGTAAAATTATTGTTTTTATTTTTTATTTTTTTACAAATAGTTTATTTTCAAATTAGTTTCCACATAACACCCAGTGCGCATCCCCACAAGTGCCCTCCTCCATGCCCATCCCTCCCTCCCCACTACATCCATCAGTCCTCAGTTTTTCTCAGTATCCAAGAGTCTCTCATGGTTTGCCTCTCTCCCTTCCCCCCACCATTTCCCCCCTTCTTCTCCCCCTTGTTCCTCAGTTAAGTTCCTCCTAATCCTCCTATACATGCAAACATATGATATTTGTCCTTCTCTGCCTGACTTATTTCGCTCAGCATAACACCCTCAAGGTCCATCCATGTTGCTACACATGGCCAGATTTCATTGTTTCTCATTGCCATGTAGTATTCCATGGTATAGATAAACCACATCTTCTTGATCCATTCATCTGTTGATGGACACTTAGGCTCTTTCCATGTTTTAGCTATTGTGGAGAGTGCTGCTATGAACATTGGGGTACATGTGCTCCTATGCCTCAGCATTTCTGTATCCCTTGGGTAAATTCCTAGCAGTGCTATTGCTGGGTCATAAGGGAGTTCTATTGTTAGTTTCCTGAGGAACCTCCACACTGTTTTCCAGAGGGGCTGTACCAGTTTACATTCCCACCAACAGTGTAGGAGGGTGCCCGTTTCTCCACATCCTCGCCAGCATCTAGAGTTCTCTGATTTGCTCATTTTAGCCACTCTGACTGGCGTGAGGTGGTATCTCAGTGTGGTTTTGATTTGTATTTCCCTGATGAGGAGGGATGCTGAGCATCGTTTCATGTGTCTGTTGGCCATCTGGATGTCCTCTTTGGAGAAGTGTCTGTTCATGTCTTCTGCCCATTTCTTCACTGGGTTGTTTGTTTTTCGGGCGTGTAGTTTGGTGAGTTCCTTATAGATTCTGGATATTAACCCTTTATCTGATATGTCATTTGCAACTATCTTTTCCCATTCCGTTGGTTGCCTATTAATTTTCTGGGTTGTTTCCTTGGCTGTGCAGAAGCTTTTAATCTTGATGAGGTCCCAACAGTTTATTTTTGCTCTTGATTCCCTTGCTTTTGGGGATGTGTCAAGTAAGAAGTTGCTGCGGTGGAGGTCAAGGAGGTTGTTTCCTGCTTTCTCCTCTAGGGTGTTGATAGTTTCCTGTCTCACGTTCAGGTCCTTTATCCATTTTGAGTTGATTTTTGTGCATGGTGTGAGAAAATGATCTAGTTTCATTCTTCTGCATGTTGCTGTCCAGTTCTCCCAACACCATCTGTTAAAAAGGCTGTCTTTTTTCCATTGGATATTCTTTCCTGCTTTGTCAAAGATCAGTTGGCTGTATACTTTTGGGTCCACTTCTGAGTTCTCAATTCTGTTCCATTGGTCTATGTGTCTGTTTTTGTGCCAATACCATACTGTCTTGTGGATGACAGCTTTGTAGTAGAGGCTGAAGTCTGGGAGGGTGATACCTCCCGTTTTGGTTTTATTTTTCAGTATTACTTTGGCTATTCGGGGTCTTTTGTGGTTCCATACAAATTTTAGGATAGTTTGTTCTAGTTTTGAGAAGTATGCTGGTGCAATTTTGATTGGAATTGCATTGAATGTGTAGAGTGCTTTGGGTAGTAATGACATCTTAACTATATTTATTCTTCCTATCTATGAGCATGGAATGTTTTTCCAAGCAAAATTATTGTTTATCAGCATTTTCATAATTTTCTTAATGAGCATGTATATATTTAAAAATTTAAAAAGTAAATAGAAAGCAGTAATTCTTTAACAACAGATTTCTGTATAAATTGGTGCCATAATAATTGCCTGTTATTAATAAACTGCCATTTGAGGGGCGTCTGGGTGGCTTAGTCGGTTGGGTGTCTGACTTTCGCTTAGGTCATGATCTCGCGGTTCGTGGGTTCAAGCCCCGCGTCGGGCTCTGTGCTGACTGCCGGCTCAGAGCCTGGAGCCTGTTTCAATCTGTGACTCCCTCTGTCTCTGACCCTCCTCTGCTCATGCTGTCTCTCTCTCTCTCCTAGAAATAAATAAAACATTAAAAAAAAAAAAACCTGCCATTTGAGGACAGTCTTTCATATATTAAGTTTTATATT